GACTATGCGTTCATCTGTTAACATTTGTTGATTTCATAACTGTTACACATTGTCTCTTCAGGAGGATGTTTTTATTTGTTTATTTCATTTCATTTATAAAAAAACATTACAGTAAACATACAAACATGATATACATGGTACATGTGTATACAGATTTTTATAAAGGGAATTAAGGAGCAAACAATTTTTTATGGGAATGTGGGGTTAACAAAAAGGGCAATTGGCCTTTGAACGTCAACCCCTTTAAAAGTATATGCTGTATTGTTGAGAAAAGAAAAAAAGGAAAAGAAAAGCAGAGAAAACCTGAACACCAATACAAAAGAAAACAAAATGGTAGGAGAATACATGTACATTATAAAGTGCATTTATTGAAGCGTTACATCATTTAAAGGCCCACTGCACTACTTGTAGCTACTTGCGCCCTCTATATAACTAACAATGCCTAATCGGTGACCATTGGTCCCCCATGATCCTCTTTTTCTTATGTTAACTGAGAGCTGAGTTGATGAGATAACCACCTGTCCAGTGACCTTGCAGGGCAATCTAATCCCTCCTATAAACTATGGCAGATAAGCTTTAATTGCGCTAAGGGAACTTAAGGGTGCGTTTAATCGACACTTTTTCACCCTAGAATCACGGTTTCTAAAGACGTTTAGTTTAAAACGCAATGCGTTCAAGCGATTTTTTCGTCGGTCGTAAAAATAAACGTGTTTGAAAACACAAACATGAAACGCTGAAAAAGATGCGTTTTGTATCATGATTCAAAAGAATCACGGTCGCTAAAATTCGATTGAACGGACGGAGTTCTCAATCATGATTGTATGACGAAGCCTCTTCCGGTTTGGGAAAAACCGCGCGCCCGCTTTGCATGCAATTTGCGTTCACTATACCATCGTGGCCTGTTCCGTTATGTTATTCATTGTTTTTCCTTCTATCATTTCCTCTTTCTGTCTTTCCTTATGTTATTCTTTGTTTCTTCCTTCTATTCTTATGTTATTCTTTGTTTTTTTCCTTCTATCACCTTTTCTTATGTTATTCTTTGTTTTTATCATTCTATCATTTGCTCTTTCTGTCTTTCCTTATGTTATTCTTTGTTTTTTCCTTCTATACTTATGTAATTCTTTGTTTTTTCCTTCTATCACCTTTTCTTATGTAATTCTTTGTTTTTATCATTCTATCATTTGCTCTTTCTGTCTTTCCTTATGTTATTCTTTGTTTCTTCCTTCTATACTTATGTTATTCTTTGTTTTTTCCTTCTATCACCTTTTCTTATGTAATTCTTTGTTTTTATCATTCTATCATTTGCTCTTTCTGTCTTTCCTTATGTTATTCTTTGTTTTTTCCTTCTATACTTATGTTATTCTTTGTTTTTTCCTTCTATCACCTTTTCTTATGTAATTCTTTGTTTTTATCATTCTACCATTTGCTCTTTCTGTCTTTCCTTATGTTATTCTTTGTTTCTTCCTTCTATACTTATGTTATTCTTTGTTTTTTCCTTCTATCACCTTTTCTTATGTAATTCTTTGTTTTTATCATTCTATCATTTGTTCTTTCTGTCTTTCCTTATGTTATTCTTTGTTTCTTCCTTCTATACTTATGTTATTCTTTGTTTTTTCCTTCTATCACCTTTTCTTATGTAATTCTTTGTTTTAAGCATTCTATCATTTGCTCTTTCTGTCTTTCCTTATGTTATTCTTTGTTTCTTCCTTCTATTCTTATGTTATTCTTTGTTTTTTTTCCTTCTATCACCTTTTCTTATGTTATTCTTTGTTTTTATCATTCTATCATTTGTTCTTTCTGTCTTTCCTTATGTTATTCTTTGTTTCTTCCTTCTATACTTATGTTATTCTTTGTTTTTTCCTTCTATCACCTTTTATGTAATTCTTTGTTTTAAGCATATTCTATCACTCTCTCTTTCTGTCTTTCTGTCTTTCCTTATGTTATTCTTCGATTCTTCCTTCTTTCACCTTCTCTTATGTTATTCTTTGTTTTTATTATTCTATCGACTTTATCTTTCTGTCTTTCCTTATGTTATTCTTTGTTTCTTCCTTCTATCACCTTCTCATTCTTTGTCTTATTATTGCGATCTATGCTCAAAACAGCAGTCGACAGTCGGCCGTAAACAATTCCAGAAAGCGCGCGCCGAAGTTCCTGGGCCATACTGCGCAGTGTGATGCGCAGTGGTTTGGCTCGCAATGAGCTAGAATCAGCGTTGATGAAAAATTGCTTGAACGCAAACCGCAGTGACCTTGCTTTTTGTAACGGCGTTTTGAATTGTGATTCATGTTTGTGATTCTAGCTTCGAAAATTCGATTGAACGCACCCTTAAGCACGCGTGTTTGTGTGTATTTGGGTTTTTAACAGACTAGTATCATTCAGAGATTATTGTTTACAACTTTTAACATCACCATCCGAAAGCTGTGACCTGGTTTCAAACCAGGGTCCATGTGAGTCAAGTTGTAGAGCTGACCACTACTAGACTAACTTCCATCTCCCTTGTAAGGTTGTTAATTCTGTGTACCACATTGAAAGCTCCATTTTGAACCACAACACCAAAAACTGTTAAAAAACACTTTAATGTTTGCGAGCAAACTCTGTATTACCATTTCTGGTTACATGAAGGGCAACAAACCTACAGTTACTTAAACGACTTTTCAATGGTTATGATGGATTGCATGCATAGAAGGTCCAGCATTCCCAAGACTCTCTGTACATAGCGGGACTGGAGTAGCACGACTTCTTTGATCTGTTACGCCCACAGTTCCAGAGTAAGATTATTACAGAAAACATTTGACTGTATACACAACCATTGTTGAACTGGAATAGCTGCACCTTTGAGTTCTTTGGCTAAAGTTTATTTTGAAATTCAGTTGAGTCCTCGCTATGTATGTCGTTGTCATGGACTAGTTTCACTGCGGCAGTTATGTGAAAACTGTTAGTTGTGCTGGAAGTTGCAAAGTTCATTTCAGAAGTGTGAGATCTTCAAATAGACGGAATAGTATTGATTTCAGTTTTCGCAACAGTTTAGAAATGTAAATATACAGTAATTGTGAGCTCTGGCATACAATGTAGCATTGAATGGCATTTAACTTTGAGAGAATTAGTTTGCTCCAAGTAATTTGTTCATTATGCAGGCGATGGGTTTTTGACCGTGAAATAGAAAAAAGTTTTGACTTCAGTTTTAAAAACAATTTAATATACGTGCATATTCACCCCTGGTGTACATTGTAGATTTGAATAGTTTGAGTGAAGCGTGCTGTGAGTGCAATGCAGTTGATGTGTTTGGACCATGAGAGAAAAACGGATCGAGTTGAGTTTTAACAACAGATTAAAGATTATCTTCACCTTATTGACAACTTAAAGATAGACTGTAATTTTGAGAGCTCTGGCATAGAATTGAAAGGCAATTGGAATGAACTTACTGTACCCTGTGTAATTTGTTTACCGGTAAATGAAGCAGTCGATGGGTCTTTTTGACCAGATTCTAGGAGCTACTTTCTGACTCGAGTAATTACGCTGTTTTCTAGCTTTTGTCCTATTCACCTTCTGACATCACTGTACATTTCTAGATTTACTGCAATCTTGAAAATTAAATGGCTTTAGTGAGAAGTAAATGGCTTAAGTGAGAAACTTGGCAGAAGTAAAATGTTCTGAATGGCTTATTATGCAATAGGATAGCTACATGTAGGTCTAAGTACAGACAATCTTCTTCACATGCTGTTTAACGCATGAATTCTGTGAAGTGCGATAAATGGCTAAAACAACTACAATGTATTTTGATCTGGTTATCACTTTTTTTCCTCATCTAATAAACTTAAGAAAAACTAAACAATGTAAGATCTACGGGTATCAATTCTTCAATCATTATTATTGAATTTGAATCATTATTGGATTTTATTCAGTAAACTACAATTAACAACTAAATTATTCTTACCCTTCCCAAGTTTTGAAATATTGAAATATGTGAAACATAGATCCATACTGATTAATATTTCTTGAGAATGTGACATATTAAAGTTTACAGTAACATGTAGAAGTATTCAATACATGTACTATTTACCGTAAGCAGACAACATGTCATTCTTGAGTTATGAAAAAACAAACATCAATATTACAAAATAATTGTTAAAATCATTGCCAGAAGTCATGACTACCATTTAAAGTTTAAAAATATGGACAACTTTCATCGATTGGGAATAATCATATATTGTTATTTGGAATGGTATAATGACATTACTACCGGTAAAGCTTCTAGCAACCTTGAATTTTGTGGGCAAGCTTTCGTCCACTCCTGTGAACTTTCTCAAGCCAAATTATCAGTCACATGTTTTCTCAGTGGTGCCTGGTGTCTTGCAATCACTGGACCAAAAATAGGTGACAATAGGTATCCAGAGTCCCTGTTTAATGAAGGATTAATCCTCTTAATCCATATTGATTCTTTCACCTTTCTTTACCAGAAGTTGCTTTTAAAGTCAATGAGGGCATCATCCCATCCAATAATATGTCTTGTGTTGAAGGCATGTTCAGCTAAAGCTAAATGGGATGGCTGGCTTACGCAATCTGAGGGCTCTTTTGTGTTCTTTTAATCGCTCATTAAGAGTTCTGCCAGTTTCCCCAACGTGTAAACATGTAACCGATCACTTGGATTGAGAAAGTCCACAGGAGTAGTCAAAAAGCTTGCCTACAAAATTCTAGGTTGGTGTAGCTTCAAAAATTATGTGATACCTTTTATAGCCCCCTCTGCACTAGTTTGGCATGGAGGGTTTAGACCTCCCTGCGAGGTCACTTGCAGGTGGTTATCTCATCAAATCAGCTCTCAATTAACATAAGAAAAAGGGCATTATGGGGGATGAACGGGTACTGCTTAGGCATTGCTGGCTGGAAAGAGGGCGCAAGCAGCTATAGGTAGTGCAGTGATGTTTTAGATTGCAAACTATCTGTTGATTTGGAGAATAACATATATCTCTTGTTTCTCTCTTTCTTTTGTTCTTTTTTTGCAGGATATCTCTGGTCTTGATGTTCACACTATGATTGTCTCAGCTCACATGTGATTTCACAGGTTTGTGGTTTATTATCCTACTGAGTATTCAATTCGGCGTTGAAGGGATTGGGTATCTTTGTCTCAGATTCTGAAACAAAATCCTGGATTTAGCTCATGCTGCAATGATAATTGTAAACCTTTAGGTCAGTCAGGAACCCCACGACTTTTACAAGCCGATCGTCTGTTCGATTATCCAGATATTTATGATTGGAAATCGTAATCAAATTTTGCGTTTTCCTAACAGTTTTTATAACACTACAGTCTATTGGGAAAATGAGTACTGGTATGGTAAAATCTATAATTCAAAGATTGTTACTTTTGACCTTTAATAGCTTTCATGATGTGAAACAACTGGTCTTTCAAGCCATGTAGTTGTGTAGTTCCACATACCAACTTCCATTGCAGTGCATGTGATTTTCCACAAGATTAAATCAATTTCCGATCATTTTGATAACTCCGAAACCTGACATTGTACACCAATTCTGAGGCACCACATAGTCAACCTATCCCCATTGCTTCTAGACATTTCTTTTTATAGTGTTATCGCTTGATCAGAGCTAAAGTTTTATTACAGTACATGTAGGTTGATAAATCCTTTTTTCTCTCTCTGTCTTTTGTGAGGCTTTCCAGTTTCCACCTGTCATTTTCAACTCAATTTTATCTTTTTTCAAATCAATCTCCTTGCCTAGGTAGGTTTTAAACTTTTAAGCCTCCGTTTGGAATTGTCCTTCTTTCAATGCAAAGCTATCAGATTAATATCAAAGATTGAAGCTTGCTCACATTTGACATCATATTAAAGGTACTGTGTCCCTTTTGCAGCCAACCTCAAATGCTGTAGAACTTTGCAGGAATTATGAATTATATGTCATGTATGTCCTATCTGTGAAATTTAAACGTTAGCAGTGTCCTCATATTCGAATTATGCAAGGAAACCTGTTTACTTGCTAGACTTCACTGTCAGACACTATTGAGTGTCTGACTGGCTTTTTTTCTTCTTTGGTAATAACATACATGAAAAGAGTTGTAAAGGGTACATGAGCATTTGTCTACATCAATAACCCACTTCTGGTGATGGCCAAGATTAAACTGATGAATCTTTGCGCAGCATAAAACGTATGACCATTCGGTACAATTGTCTGAAAATCAAGACTATTACTTTTGGGCTCTATAACCCTAAAGTGGATTTGACAACTAATAGTCGTTATTTTCTCACTTGAAGACATTTTCAAACCCCAACTTTTTTAGGGAAGTTCTAAATTAGTATTATCTTTCAAATGCAGTTGGAATTTAACTTTTTCATTTTTTTGGCCTGCAAATGGGACATAGTACCTTTAAACTGGGACAGTTAAAAAAGCACTTTGATTGCTTACTTTGCTTCTCGATCTGCATGGTTGCTTGTTTGCCATACGTGCACCTTTGCACAAGACAGTAGGTAGTAATTGACAGAAGAACTGCTTTGTAGAACACAACAGCTTTTGCAAATAATTTCCATTCTTTATTGCCTCCCTATGCAATCCCTTTTTAATACTGTTATAGATTAATCTTGCATTGGAAACAGTTACGAAGCTGCAGCTGATTAAGAATGTGGGAAAATAACCTTTACAAATTTTTTATACATACATAGAGATTCATGAAGGAAATACATTTGTCAATTATTTAAAGAAGAATTTGGAAGGAGACACCTCAATTGTCACAACGTCAAATGAATAAGAGGTTCAAATTCAAAGAAATGTTATACTATTACTGGTAACTAATTAAGGTAAATATTATTACATTATTATTTACAGTATATTCTTAAAGTTTCATTGATACATGTACTGGTACACTCATTTTCAGAAGTAAATGTTCTGTCTGTTTCTGACTCTCTTATGGTTCTTGTGCTAAACTCTCAGAGAGGTTATTAAACACAAACACACTGAATGTCAAAACAAACTGATTGGTTTACATGTAGGAGCTTGGCTCCACATATTAAATTGAACAAATATGATACACGTATGTGTACATGCACTTAATATGCTGATATCAAAATATAATGAAGTATTTTGTACAGGCACCAAAGTGTGACTAATCTAGTTTTAATTACATCTAGGTTGTCTCTATGTCATCAATGTAATAAAGCAGACAAGATAGACATTATTAGCATAAAATGAATATATTACTTGCATTTCTCTCTCTGTGTCTGTCTGTCTGTCCCTCTCTTGTTCCCTCTATACTTCATATGCAATGTCACAAAGCAGCAGAAAAAGACATTTGACACAAAAATGAATATATTAGTGAAATTTCTCTCTCTGTCTCTCTTGCTCCCTCTCAACTTAATATTCGATGTAAGAAACCAGCAGAAAATTTTTTTTTAAAAAAATGAATACCGGTATATAAGTTACATTTCTCTCACTCTCTCTCTCTCTGTACTCCATTCTCCCCTAGATGTCAAATTAGGCTAAATCCTTATACATGTATGTGTATTTGTACATATTTATTCATCATGGCTAATCACGTCCTTAAAGATAAACTTTAGTACTGGTAATGCGATTGCATTGTGAAAGAAAAGGTGTGGAAAGGATCAGAAACAGTTGATCATGTAGCATGTAAGTATTGGTGTGCACTGCAAGGTTCTGGAGTCATCAAAATCATACTAAATTTGACCGAGTCTTGGTAAAGTAACAAGCACTGTACACGAAAAGCTATATATGGGACAACACACATGGTGTCGGGGCTAGTTCTACCTTGATTTCCTTGTCTTTCTATGCTCATTACTCAGCCAGTATACATTTTCTTCCAAAATTGTTTGGCACATGTCATTTATTTGTAATCTTGGACATTCAGTGTGTTTCGTTTGATTCTGTGAGAATTATTATTTTTTTTTTTTACCAGAACTGGAGTTTATCTTTAATAGCTTCCGATGTTTATATTTAGGAATCATGCTTCAGTGATGAGTTATTGTTATTAGGGGAGGTGTGACAATGACTCAGGCATGTTGAATGCAGATCATCAATGAATTTGATGATTTTTGACAGGGAAATGGACGAAGAGTTATGAAAACATTTATGACCCACCTCTGCGGGCTTCATTGCCCCCCACCTACTTATATGACGTAGTGCATGATTGGACGCAAATAACAATCAGTTTAGCCTGGCGTTTCATTGTAGGAACTTGCGCACTGGTCGGTCATTGTGTGCAGTGAAGTCCCTTTGATCGCCGGCAAATATTCCAAATATTTCAAGTTCACTCATCTGGTATCCATTACGGTGACATGTTCGTATACATGTAGGCAAATCAACATAAGGTATGTAGAGGGCATTGCATTGAGTGGTTGTGGATAAATGCGACAAAAATGACTTCCATACTATTGAAACGTCATTGAAAATAATGAAAGGAATTAAGCTCCCAGTTCTAGAATATGCTGACAATAATCTGATTATTTTGATATAATATAGAGAGAGGAAGGGAGGTAGGGATGGATAAAGGGAGGGAGGGTACCGGTATATAAAGAAGAGGGGGTGAAGAGGAAGGGCAGAGAGTGAGTTAGAGACAGGGAGAGGAGAGAGAGAGATAGATAGATAGAGAGAGAGAGAGAGAGAGAGGGAGAGAGAGAGAGAGAGAGAGTGAGATAGAGAGGGAGATAGAGAGGGAGGGAGGGCGGGAGGGACAGAGGGAGGGAGGGAGACAGAGAGAGACGGAGAGAGATAAATAGAGAGAGAGAGACAGAGAGAGAGACAGAGAGAGAGAGGGAGGGAGAGAGAGAGAGAGAGACATACATGACACAGACACGTACAGACAACCAAATAGAAGGCGAATGTGAGAAACTCCAGTTCCATAGTGTGTTATCTAGAGAAGATCTGAATACATACATGTATACTTTAACCTTTGGCTTGTCATTAACTCTGCAGTCCCCTTGCTAAGAATCCTTTAATTTTTATGCAGTTCTCTGACTCTGTCTCTTTCTCTCCAGGAAAAAAAATATTAAAAACATTTCGGGGGCTACTTTTCAAGCTTGCTTGCATGAAAATAACACTCTTTAATTTGTTTTGCATCAAACTCTATGCACATTTTGGGGCTTTTGGGGCATTTCTGGGGGAGAATTCGCCCAAGACCCGTGTATTTTTTCCCTGTTTCTCTCTCTTTCTCTTTCTCTCTCTCTCCCTCTCTCTCTCCCTCACTTAACCTGTTCTGTAATTACATGTACCAGTAGTCTGTATAGCTTGAACTCTACACTGTGTATATCTTTTTTCTTTCTTACCCTCCCTCTCTTCTTTCTATACATGTAGCTCTTACTCTCGATCTCGCTCTCTCTTTCTCTATGCCCCCCCCACTCTCCCTCTCTCTCCTCTCTCTCTCTCTCTCTTCCTCCTTTCGTTGATCTGTTATACATGAACACTGTACAGTTTGTGTGATAAATCTTAAAGCCGTCTTTCAATGAATAATGGTTTCTTCATACGACCCTGGATGCCTTTATTACATGCATGCATTGTTATGAAAGATATGGGGATTTTACAGTGTAAGCACCTATACATTGTGCACTACATCTTCCATGCAGTTTGAATCACTGCATGTTACTCAATAGTCATGTTAAGAAAAGACGCATAACGCAATTTTCAGACATCTCTGTCACTCGATTATTACCTTTATTATCATATAGTCAAACCTGTCTATACCCACCGCCCAAGGGAAACACAACAAAATGGTCTTTGTAGACAGGTGGTCTTTGTAGATGGCTCCTTTAGTACATGTTTCAATGAGAAACCATTTTCAAGGCAAACCAAATATGTGGTTTTTGTAGACAGGTGGTCACTAAAGCAGGTTTGACTAATACAAACTACTTTCTGGCTTGAGTATGGACACCCATTAATTGCTATTTTCTGACTATTCTAACATCAATTTTACATGTACCTGTACCCTTTTCTTGAAGTTATAATACTGTTTTTTGCCAAATGGTACTTCTACCAATTACATTGTAAAGCTCATAATTCCATGTTCGCATTTTATAAATATGGGAACCCAAAATGCAGGGGCCTCTCTAT